TTTCACCCCAACACACAAATACCAGCATAGCCAAGTGGAAGAAGAAAGTAGATGATATGTCATGCTGTGGAATTGTGATATTGTTGAGTTGATTTGTTGATTTATAGACTTTGAAGTCTTAGTCTTTTTTTCCAAATTTTGCATTGATTAGCGTATGTGAAAATAAAAATCTCACAAACCATTTTTTTTTAAAGAATACTAATGAAAATGGCTTGAAAACTTTGAATTTTAATGATAAGGACAAAATAAAGGGTAAAATGAATAATATCAGCTTTGACTTTTTAGTGTAAAAATGTGATTTTTCGTTAAAATGAACAGTACCGGGAGCTTTTCGTTAAAACTTCCTTTTTTTTATTGACAACGGGACATAAGCCTGAAAGAAAATCAAGATTACATAAGAATATCATGAGACCCATCAGACTCCAACTATATTTGCAACTTATCCTTTATCAACAAAAAGTATAAAAGAAATGTACATGTGAACAACCGGTAAGCATTAGGCAACATCCTTTTCTGTGCAGCATAGAACATTCAGTTTTCTCCGAAAGATACAGAGAGGAAGAATGTCCCAAATACTGAGTTTGGGTAAAAGGAGAAACTGCAAATAAGGAAGGATACCCCAGATGCTGATTCTGGGAACACGGAGAGGGTTTTCTGGGAAATAGCCCAACAAAGCATGACATTATTTTTCGAAAATTGATATTAGTAGGGAAAGCACAAAACTTGATAAATTAAATGAAAATTTTACTTCAACCCAATAAATATTTTTTCTTCAATAATTCATAGAATCCACTATATTGTCACATACTATAGCTATGCGTTGGTCCAACACTAATTTTTTTATTTGGCCTAAAACAAAAAAAACCAAAACTTCAAATTCAAAATTAGACAAATAAATTTAACGGGTAAAGATTTTAGAGAGACAAAGTGAGAGAGAAAGAGAGAGAGAGAGAGAGAGATAGGGGGAGAACCTTGAGCGAGGAGGCAATTGACGGTTTCGTTGGAGGAGAACATCAGTGCAGTTACAATTTTGTCAAGCTCTGCACCAACAATTAAAAACAGATAAAACCATCAAATAACACCTTATCCTTTATCAGTCATCTCAGGCATTGATTCTAGGAAGATTCTACACCACGTAGCACAACAAAATGTAATTTGACAAAACAAAAAAATGTATCCAAAATCTACACAAAAATACATTCACCATTATTACCTGAAGCTCGGCTGCTTTCTCTACTTTTCAATTCCACTTCTTGTGCCTGACCAAATATCAAAAAATTGAAATTACTTTCTTTCGAAAACTCAGTAATTCACATAATTATGTCTACATTATAACCATTTCTGTAAGAATTTGAAATTAATTACATTTAAATATTACAAAGTATTGTATAAACACTGGGACAAAAACCTAGCAGCAACGAATGCAAAATCATTCACAACACAGAACAGAAAACATTAACTCACACAACATGATACAAAATCCTAACACACTAATTCATACAACATTGTATAGAAAAGAGTGAACTCAAGATTAATAAAGGCAAACCAAAATTTAAGTGTTCATAGACAAATCAGCAATGAAAATGCGGAGAATCAAATAACAAAGTTTTTTTAATTTCCTCTTGTAGCAATAGATGATTACCAAGCATTACACTCTAACTTTCAGTCATGCTTAAACTGATATCCCATCTTTCCTTGTAACTCATCTTTCTTTTCATGGATATTAGTTTTTGTTTCTACATTTAAACAAAATGGTAGCATGAAAAACTCATTTTGCCAAATTAACAACCCTTAACAAATAGCTTCTAGAAAAGGTCAAAGTGAATAAGATCATTTCAACCTTTAGCTCTAGAACAATTCATAAAAATCTACCCAATATCAAAATTCCCGCACCATTCTTTGTGATATTATTTCAGGCAACCCTACTTCACCTCTATACATGGAAATGGTCCTATTTATGCTGCATCACACGTTAGCAAAACCATATATTAATTGAAAAGATAATCATCAAACCTAGTTAGCTAGTTAAATTATTTGTTAATTAAACGTACTCGTGGCTTGCAGATTGGCAGGCCATGCCAGAGGGAGAGAAGATGATCATGAGGGCAACTTCAGCATCGTAGAGGATAGAGAGGTCAACAGCCTTCTTCAAAAGTCCATTTATGCGTTTGCAGAAGGTAACCTCTTAAGTCTCACAAAAAAAATAAAACCATCCTATTTTTTTACTACATAAACAACAAATCACAAATTTAACACTTGCAATGGTATACGAAACCAACCGTAAACGAAAAAGAGAATGTTGAGAAAATAACCCAGATGAAGGCAGCTTTGGAGAGTTTAGAATCCAAATATGGTATCAACAGCCAAGATATGTTCCATGTAATATCCTTTTATAGATCCCAAAACAAATACAATCTGCACAATCAAGTTTCTTGTTATAGCCAAAAGAGAATAATAGTATGCAAGGTAGTGCATCTCAAACATTAAATGAATAATTCAGATAAAATGAAATCACAAAAGAACCCAGAAATTTAAAGGAAAAATCTTTATAACTTAGCATCCTGACCGCTTTGAATCAAAAACGTTTAGCACAGAGAGTGCACTGCAATTTATCTCAGGTAAAACCCTAAACCTATCTAGACCTGTAAACGGGTCGGGTTTATTGGGTTTGGGTCGGGTTCAACCTTAAGTTAACGGGTCACCCGAACCCAACCCGTTAAGCTAACGGGTCACCCGAATCCGACCCGTTAAGCTAATGGGTCACCCGTTAACAACAACAACAACAACAAAGCCTTTTCCCACTAAGTGGGGTCGGCTATATGAATCCTAGAACGCCATTGCGCTCGGTTTTGTGTCATGTCCTCCGTTAGATCCAAGTAATCAAGTCTTTTCTTAGGGTCTCTTCCAAAGTTTTCCTAGGCCTTCCTCTACCCCTTCGGCCCTGAACTTCTGTCCCGTAGTCACATTTTCGAACCGGAGCGTCAGTAGGCCTTCTTTGCACATGTCCAAACCACCGGAACCGATTTTCTCTCATATTTCCTTCAATTTTGGCTACTCCTACTTTACCTTGGATATCCTCATTCCCAATCTTATCCTTTCTCGTGTGCCCATACATCTCACGAAGCATCCTCATCTCCGCTACACCCATTTTGTGTACGTGTTGATGCTTCACCGCCCAACATTCTGTGCCATACAACATCGTTGGCCTTATTGCCGTCCTATAAAATTTTCCCTTGAGCTTCAGTGGCCTACGACGATCACACAACACGCCGGATACACTCTTACACTTCATCCATCCAACTTGTATTCTATGGTTGAGATCTCCATCTAATTCTCCGTTCTCTTTGCAAGATAGATCCTAGGTAGCGAAAACGGTCACTTTTTGTGATCTTCGCTAGATTGCTCCGGTCATTAGTGTGGATAAGTATATAAATGGATAGAGATAGGAAAGCAAACACAAGATGTACGTGATTCACCCAGATTGGCTACGTCCACGGAATAGAGGAGTTCTCATTAATTGTGAAGGGTTTACACAAGTACATAGGTTCAAGCTCTCCTTTAGGGAGTACAAGTGAATGATTTAGTACAAATGACATTAGGAAATATTGTGGGAGAATGATCTCGTAACCACAAAACTTCTAAGTCCCGGAGTGTGGTATCGGCTTGACTTTCCTTATCTGTCTCATAGGTAGATGTGGAATCTTTTCTGGAAGTACTCTTCCTCCATCCAGGGGTGGTATCTGTAACTGGTGGAGATGCACAAGGTAATGTATCAATGTCACTTGAAGCTTACTTGTAGTTTCAGGCTTGGTCAAGCGCGATACAAACCATGTAGTAGGAGTCCCCCAAGTCGCCGAGCTAGGGGATTGCTGAAAGAGGTAACAGACAAGGTAAGCAATCAGAGCTCCGGCTGATTGTTCACATTCTCCCTATCTTGCAGGCAGCATGAAGGATAAAGAGAAGAAAAATGAGAAGAGATGATATGGGATACTTTTGCTTTTGAAGAAGTAACTTTCCACAGGCTTATTCTTGAACTGGGCTGGAGGGTTTTCTGGTTTCCTCCAAAGTATAAGGCCGACTGAAGAATTTGAGGGTCAAAACAAGTCCATCAAATCTAGAGTACGTTCGACCCTGCTGATATGGGATACTTTTGCTTTTGACAGAGTAGTGGATGTATCGGCACGTGTGCTGTTACGCTTGTCTCCACATGCTTCCTTGTATCCTTCTCACTTGCCCTATATGTTCCTCAGGCAGATGCGGTATCTTCCTTGGAAGCATAAGATGTTGAAGATGAGTACTCGAGAGCAATGCCAGGGTAAGGGGTTCCAGGCAGTCAGTTCCTGGCTGGAAGCTTGATTCCAAGTGCTGACTGATTGCTCTCTTTCTCCTTGTCTTGCAGGTAAGAACAAGGCCAAAGGAAAAGACAGGGAAAAAGCATGATATGGGATACTCTTGCTTTTAACCCTGATGATATGAGATATTCTTGCTCTAGTATAGCTTGTTTACAGAGGTATTATCGGGGGGAAAGAAAGCTGAATATTTCGAAAGGCTTCGTTGGGAGTGCCCTCTCAGATAAGAGGAAGGGTTGAGCATTTTTGCAGGTCTGCCTGTCCGTTGGGAATGGAGGTCGACATATATAGGAGTCTCCCTAACATCAAGTAATAATGCTATTCCTTTACCCTGCTTGGTCATAGCACGGTAGTGGGAGCTGCCAGCTTCACAAGTTTTAACTCTGTCAGAGCACTTTGAAAAAGTGGTCTGTGGTATCTGGAAAGCTGATGTTGCGTGTGAAGATTACAGACAAGCTTTATCCAAGGAGATCCGGCTCTTGAAGTTGGGAAAGTGGTGCCTCTTCGGTTTTCGAACAAGCAATCCTGTCGGGGATCTGGCTCTCGAGATTCGGAGAACGATGCCTCTTCGATTTTTGAGAAAGCAATCATGCTGGGGGTCTGGCTCTCGAGATTCGGAGAGGCGGTGTCTTTCGATTTTTGAGAAAAGTAATCATGTTAGGAGTCTGGCTCTCGAGATTCGGAGGGCGGTGCCTCTTCGATTTTGGAGCAAGCAATCTTGTTGGGGGTGTTTTCTCGAATGTGAGTAAAGGTTGGGCATGTTTGCTAGTCTACCTTGCCACGAAGCACAGAGGATGACACACAGGGACTTTCAAATTATCCAGCAGTGGTACTGTTCCTTTACCCTCTCTTCGATTTTTGAGAAAGTAATCATGTTGGGAGTCTGGCTCTCGAGATTCGGAGGGCGATGCCTCTTCGATTTTGGGGCAAGCAATCTTGTTGGGAGTGTTTTCTCGAATGTGAGTAAAGGTTGGGCATGTTTGCTAGTCTACCTTGCCATGAAGCACAGAGGTTGACACACCGGGACTTTCCAATTATCCAGCAGTGGTACTGTTCCTTTACCCTTGTGGGTAATAATATGGTAGCTAGGCCGTCAAAATTTATGTGTCTAAACTTTGTTAGTGTTGTTTCTTTGCTATTCTTTTACCCTTTTTGGTCAAAGCGATGTAGTGAGAGTTGCAAGCTTCACGTGTCTCGACTTTGTCAGAGAACTTTGGCAAAGTTATATGTGGTACCCATGAGCTACTGTTGCGTGTGGGAAGTGGGTGATTGAACAGTACGATTCATGTGCTTTCTACTTCGCCAGAAATCTTCGACAGAATGCCCATAATTTCCGCAAAGCTGAGTGTGCGTGTGACAGGTGCTGACAAGGCTGGAAAAGTAGTCTCAACTTTGTCAGAGGACTTTGGCAAAGTTATATGTGGTACCCATGAGCTACTGTTGCGTGTGGGAAGTGGGTAATTGAACAGTACGATTCATGTGCTTTCTACTTCGCCAGAAATCTTCGACAGAATGCTCATAATTTCCGCAAAGCTGAGTGTGCGTGTGACAGGTGCTGACAAGGCTGGAAAAGTAGGTGCCTCTTCGATTTCTGAGATCGACCCTCGTGGTCTCTGAGCAGCCCAGCTTTTGAGAAAGCAAACCTCTTCGATTTCTGAGATCGGCCCTCGTGGTCTCTGAGCAGCCCAGCTTTTGAGAAAGCAAACCTCTTCGATTTCTGAGATCGGCCCTCGTGGTCTCTGAGCAGCCCCAGCTTTTGAGAAAGCAAACCTCTTTCGATTTCTGAGATCGGCCTTCGTGGTCTTTGAGCAGCCCAGCTTTTGAGAAAGCAAACGCCTCTTCAATTTCTGAGATCGACCCTCGTGGTCTCTGAGCAGCCCAGCTTTTGAGAAAGCAAACGCCTCTTCAATTTCTGAAGCTTCGTCGAGTGCAGATTTTTATAGAGGCTGACATTAAGTTCCAAAGCACACTTGAATATCCACCAGTAGAAGCTCCATTCTTGCACTTCTAAGATCTTGATTTGTCCGACCTCTTCTCTTTTCTACACCTTTGAAAATGTCTGGCCCCTCCGACCGTCGTTTTGACTTGAACCTTGTTGAAGAGGCAGCCCCGCCTTCTCCAGACAACATATGGCGCCCATCCTTCGTCTCCCCTACTGGTCCTCTTACCGTTGGGGATTCCGTGATGAAGAATGATATGACCGCTGCGGTAGTGGCCAGGAACCTTCTCACTCCCAAAGATAACAGACTACTTTCCAAACGGTCTGATGAGTTGGCTGTTAAGGATTCTCTGGCTCTTAGTGTTCAGTGTGCAGGTTCTGTGTCTAATATGGCCCAACGCCTATTTGCTCGAACCCGCCAAGTTGAATCATTGGCGGCTGAAGTGATGAGTCTCAAACAGGAGATTAGAGGGCTCAAGCATGAGAATAAACAGTTGCACCGGCTCGCACATGACTATGCTACAAACATGAAGAGGAAGCTTGACCAGATGAAGGAATCTGATGGTCAGGTTTTACTTGATCATCAGAGATTTGTGGGTTTGTTCCAAAGGCATTTATTGCCTTCGTCTTCTGGGGCTGTACCGCGTAATGAAGCTCCAAATGATCAACCTCTGATGCCTCCTCCTTCTAGGGTTCTGTCCAGTACTGAGGCTCCGAATGATCCCCCTCCGGTGCCTTCTCTTTCTGGGGCTCTACCGACTGCCGAGACTTCTCCTAAGCAACCTTTGTGAAGGCTCCCTCTTGTTTGTTTATTTTGACTCAAGTATATGTACATATTTGTAATTTATCGGGGATATCAATAAATAAGCTTTCCTTCATTTCAACGTATTGTGTTAAATCACCAAAGCCTTCTTCGCTAAGTTCTTTGAATTTTCTTTTGTTGAAGCTAATTATTATTATTTTTTTTTGCATAAAGTTTATTTTTTGTTGTCAAGACTTTACTAAAATTATTAAAGCATCCTCAACTAACGGGTGCTAACGGGTCTTAACGGGTTGACCCAAAGTGACCTGTTATTTAACGGGTTGTTAACGGATTCACCCGTTAGCGACCCGACCCGTTAAGCATCCACCCAAACACTAATATTACCGGGTCGGGTCCAAAATGCCAGGTCTAAACCTATCAAGGCACCGTCTGTGATTTTTCCGTACTGAGTTATGATAAATAATAAAATCTAGCTATGAAGTTTCACATGCATGTGTCTCTGTGTTACATTCTTCTTCTCGCTACTTCTTTTTTATTGGAATTATGTGTTGGTTGTTGCCCAAATAGAAATTTCAATTGGTTAAGTTTTGAGGGCTGGAAATAATATTTTCCGAGCAAGAAACCAGAGGTAAATAAATAAAACTGTCGATCGAGTGCAAGTTGTCCCCTAAGCAATTCTTAAGCCAATGTAATTGGCTTCAAAATTCTTAGTTCTCTTCAGATAAATTTTTGGTTATTGTTTCTCTCTTTCATGCAAGCTTACATCAGTAAAGGAAGCCAGAGATTTTTACCTTTTACCTTGGGTCTGAGATCCTCAAGTCGTGTGCTCTCCAAACGGTTCCAGAAAACAAAAAGCACCTTTTCCGGAAAAAGCACCAATATTCAGACATTTGCACAACTAATGGTGCACTAATTGAGTTCCCAACCTATAAGGATGCTAACTTCATCATATACAGTTAAACACATTTCTTTCCGAAATTAAATTAAGAAAAAATTCGACATTCACATGCCACTACAATTACACTGTTCCATGAAGTAATCTTACTATCGCAGCCAAATTGACACAAAACATGTAAACTGTCCTTTCGAAAACAAAATCCCCCCCATTAATCATATACTCATTTAACACTCTATATACAGATTACAGAGTTTCAATCATTTTCTGAAAACAACAAACCCAACAAACAAATATAAAAAAATAAAAGTAACTAAGTTCCCAATAGTATAATCCATCAGAAAAATACAAACTTGCACACGTTTAAGGACCATGAGAAAGAAGCAGGGTAGTTCCAGTAAAATGAAAGCAAAGACCACAAAAGTAGGAAAATGAAGATGCCAAAAATGCAGAAAACCACCAAATACACATGCAATTTGGTTTGTCCAGAACTAAGAATAAGGCATACTTTTCCACAATTGTACAAATTTGGATTAAATCGAAGGCCACCAGAGTGGTAGTAGACATTCCGCATAACGGAGTTCCCGGTTAGGCCGAAGATGTAAACAGATACAAATCAATTCTAGGCGTTCAAAATTATCACATACTGGTGGTACATTGGGATAGCCACTGGGGAAGCAAACATCAAAGAAGAAGAGACCATCATGGTAAGGAGTACCCTCCACCCCAACAATTACAGCTCTCACACAATCCATTATTGTCTCATAAGCTCTAACAAATATTGTATATGTGGATGTCAATGAAAAGGGGGTAAGCACATCTGAGTTTCTATAGTACAAACACCAATCCAACAACTATAGTCCATATATTCTCAACTCCAAACAAAACCAAATTAATTACAGCAGTCAGCATCATGAAATAGTCAGTGCAAAATATTTGATAAAAATGAATAGGCTAAGTATGGGAAAACTTCACTACTATTAATTCAAAACAGTTATTTAAAAGGAAATTCAAAATAAAAAACGGAAGAACTTGCCTGGCAAATCCTTCTTCAGTATCTTCCACTCTTCCTGAATTCTATTTGCCACAGACAGAATTGTCGGAGCTTGGGAACCGAATCCATCATTGGGAACTGTCATATTCGAATGTAAGGGTTTTCTTGAAATTGAGCAACAATAGTTGCTTGCTGGTGTTGAATACACTGGTGATGAATTGTAGGGATAGTACTATTAGAACAGGTAGTAGTGATAGTGGAGACATTGAACAAGAATAGGAGGAAGAAATATTAGAGCAACATTTTCATTTTCCAGACGCTTAATTTGCTAAGCTTAATTAGCAGAGAAAGTAATCAAGAACAATTGAACAACGCATAATGGTTGGGTGACTTCTATAGGCATGGCCATTGGCCAACAATTAGTAAAAAGGCGTCAGGTTTATGTGCTTGACTATGTCCTCTATGGGGTTGGCATTAAATTTTCAGGGCCATTATAAATGTAACCTAAAGCAGGGGCTAGAGGGACCTTTTTTCCACAAAAAAAAAAAGGAGATAAGACACGTTTTTTCAAAAAAAAAAAAAGAGAAGAGTATTCTTAGGACCATTATAATGGCCCTTAGAATTTAATGACAACCCCATAGAGGACATATTCAAGCCACATAAATCTGACGCCTTTTCACCAATCGCTGGCCAATGGCCATGTCTATAGAAGTCACCCGAGTTGTTCAATTGTTATTGATTACTTTATCTGCTAATTAAGCTTAGCAAATTAAGCATCTAGAAAATGAAAATTTTGCTTCAATATATCTTCCTCCTATTCTTATTCAATGTTTCCACTATCACTACTTATGCTAATAGTACTATCCCTGCAATTCACCACCAGTCTATTCAATACCAAAAACTGTTATTGCTCAATTTCAAGAAAACCCTTACATTAACGAGAAGAAATTCATTCTGAACAATTCCAGAGCTTGAAGGGGTTTAGAGAAAAAGCTGCTGCTTCTGGGTTTAGAAAGCAGGGAAGAAAGTGCCAGAAACTAAAACCCCACTAATCATTTTTTACTTCAGATTCTCAGATTCGCACTTTCTCGTTGTTTCTCCCCTTTTCTTGTTAGCTCAACAAAACAGATATCTTCTGAGTTCCCTTGCCTCTGTCTCCATCCTCAACCCACTTTGATTGAGACCGACGGAACACCTTATCTGCGATGGTCAACACGTGCACGGGAGAAGCGGTGGCAACTTCGTAAATAAATCGAAATTTCCAATCTGAAGTGAAGAGGCGGTGGCAATTTTGTAAATAACTCAAAATTCACCCCAATTCACTGTTCATTTGTGGTTTTGACACAAGCGATACTAGGAGAGAGAAGATCGAAGACCTACACACGACTGCCCAAACGACAATTTATATGAATACGAACTCGATTGCCTGGTGCAGTTTCAATATCACATATCCCTGCTCAACTCTGGCAATCTAAATAGACGGACCAAAATTTGAACACATAGACGGACCAAAATTTGAACAATCACTTTTTAAACAAGCTGGAAAGCTCACCCTTCTCCTGCATGGAACCTAGAATATCACAGCCCCCAAGCCCATTCACAAATATCTGCGGGAAAGTTGGCCAGTTACTATACTTCTTCAGAGTCTCCCTCAATCCACTATTATACTCTTCATCAAGCACATCAACGCTCTCATAATCCACCCCCTGGTTTTCAATAATGCCAACAACCCTCTGCGAAAATCCGCACAATGGGGCACTTCTCGAGCCCTTAATAAAGGCCACGACTTTGTTCTCTTTCACCAACCGGTCAATGGCACTGTCAGCTGCACATTAGGACGGGGTGTTAGGCCGGAGACCAGGCTTCTTCTTCCTTGGTGGTGGCTTTCGGACCCATATGGCATTGCCTGATTCATTTCCCGGAGGAACCTTCCCGGTTGCTTTTATGTGTTCTTCCATCCATGATTTCCGAGCTTCGTTAGAACCGCCCTATCTGGTTCATCTACCACCCCAACCTACAGTACAATACCATCACTGTTAGTAGAGCAATATTACATAGTTCCTTGTACATTTATACTAGTTTTGCAGTACCGATTAAACATTTCGATTCGATCCAATAAACTTCTATCCTGTAGGGGAAAAAAACACTTCTTTCACCAGAGTATGCATTTCCCACACAAATCAATAACAATGTGGATTAGGGATTTGTAGCTCAGTTGGTTGACTAGGCCGAGTTCCCGAGTTAGAATTCCCTGTCCCCAATATCGCTTGTATTACAAAACGAAAATTGAATTGAATTGATATTATTTATTGAATTCTTCAGTTCACAATAAATTGAATTTAACTCTTGAATCAATATATAGATGTTCAATTTCAAAAATAAAAAAATAAAAAAATAAAAAATAATAAATTCACAAAAACTAAACTTTAGTAACAAATAAAGGTCCCAGAAAAAGTCCGTACCTTGACGGAGTAGCAAAGCTCTGGCAACGACTTCCTGTGTCAGAGAACACTCGCCACTATGTTCCTCGATAACCCGACGAACTGCAGCTCGCCGTTCTGATAAAAAAAAGGGCGTAGATCCCGGTCTCCGCTCCCTCCGGCACGGGGATTAGATCGGCCTCTGCCAGAGTACTAACCGGCGAAGTGATGACCAAAGCTCGAGCCTTGGTTGCGGTGTAGGGTTTGAGAGAAATGGAGGGAAAGGCGAGGGCTTTGGAGGGTAAATTGAACGAAGGATTAGGGGTATTTTGGGAAGAGTGAGAAGAGAATAAGCGGACAGAGGGAGGCGACAGCACTGGTTGGTTGGACATCAACAGATATTGTTGAGGTAAGGGATTCGGGCTTTGACCCGACTCAGCTATTTGCGAGTAGCTAGTGGGGTTGGGCCTAAGAGTCAAGGACCTAAGGAAATAGATAACATTGAGCCCGTGTTAGTCAAGAATCGATCACTATTACGTGTGAAAGTTAAAATGTGTATCAATATGTGATTGATTTATAGGGTTATATTGTGTATGGAGTTTGATGGAATCTGCTTGACTCTTAAAATCAAGTGTATTTCAGATAGACTTTTATGGAGTAAAATCACCTTGTATTGAATAAAAACTTAAGAAATGCAAAGGGGATTCTCTCAAAATTGGAACTCTTTATCACCTCGCAGTTTAACGTCAGTTCCCATACCAACCTTGTAAAACATAGTACCAAAAATATGAGGTGGCAAAGAGTCTCATTTTGAGTGAAGTGAGAGAATTTTGGTTGCATTTCTCTAAAAACTTTTTATGATTTCTAAAAAGTCAATAAAAATCTTATGATATTCAAATATGACATAGTGTATTCAAAATTTAATTGATTTTAAAGGATTTTTAAAAAATTCATAGACCTTCATGTATCTTTATAAGGTATGTTTTTTGTTATTGCAATTTCAACTTCTCCCCTTAAAATTTTGATGGACTTTCATAGACTTTGATACTCCACCACCCACCATGATGCAATAAGGACCACTATTTTCACTTCCACACACCATTCCGTCACCACCACCCAGGGTCGACCAAGCTAGTGTGGGATGACGGACCGTCCGGGATCCAAAAAAAGTGGGGGACCAAAATTATTAGAGTGGTACATTCATATGTATTTTTCATAAGAGTATAAATTTATAAAAGTTGGCTAAATGATCACCAAGTTTAATCATAGATAGTGGTTTCTTTTGTTTGAAGTTAACAATGAGGTCTTAGGTTTGAAACTCATTTATTTACTTTCAAATTTTTACAAATTTCTTTTCATAAGAGTATAAATTTATAAAATTTGGTGAAATGATCAAGAGATTTAACTAGAAGTGGTGGTTTATGTTGTTTAAAATTAACAAGAAGGTCTTTGGTTTGAAACGATATGTATGCTTTTTTACTTTCTGTTTTTACGAATTTCTTTTCATAAGAGTGTAATTTTATAAAATTTGGTTAAATAATTAAGAAGTTTAATGAGAATCAATGATTTCTGTTGTTTAAAATTAATGAAAGGTCTTGAGTTTTGGGTTCGAAATGCTATGTGCTTTTTTATTCTTTCCAATTTTTACAAATTTATGTTTGGTTGTTAATTTTTTTTTAATTACTAACTAGTTGTTATGTGGGTTGTAGTTTTTAAACATTCATTCCAATTCAAGTCTAACTTTTAACAAAGACTAATGTGTAAACTAAATTTGTAAATTATATAACGTGTCACCAATAAAAAAATAAGCACGTTTATCCAAATCATACTTGTGAAAGCAAATAATTATTCTTATTCGAAGGCACATTTTTTTTGGGTCTCCTCTCCCAGACTTAAAATATCAAGACCTGCCCTACCCACCAGAGTATACTTTCTATGATGGAGTTGGACCTTACAAGTTGATCATGATTTATATTAAATGCTTAATCGTATGACAGATTTGGAGTAAAATTGCAGCTAACTTCAAACCTTAAATTAATGCTAAGCAATCATAGACATGGAAGGACTATTGTCGTACTTGAACATGATGTCAATGTTAGGTTGGATTAATTTTCCACGCCAACAGCATCATACCATTTACAAGTTGCTGCCACCCCAAATTTCATGTACTTGTTTGTTCATGCCAGATTTGCTAATTCAGACTTTTCCATATTTCGGTCAAAATCTCAGAAGTTTATATTCGTATTTTAGAATTTACAGTTTGTTTTTTGTGGGTTCAGTCAGGATCTTTAGGTTGGCCTATCAGTTCTCCAGAATCATACGGTTCTATTTTCGTTCATTTGGTTCAGGACTGTATCATGTGGAGGTTACCATGTCTATATCAACTGCATCAAGAGTCTCCTCCCGATGTATATGACAGTATTACAAACACGACTATGCGAGAATGTTAAATCGCACTCACAATATGTGATTGATTTAAAATGTTGTTATTGAGACATCTTAAATATAAGTGAACTTCTTGAGTCTAGTCATAGTAGTAGTATTATACGAATCAATCACACCACTACTGGGGAGGTTAAAATGTTTTGACAAAGGACGGAGTTTGTGTTATTTTAGATGGGGGAGAGTTAAAAAGAGGAAGCGTCATTTAATTAAAAAAAAAAGTGATTGGAGAGTTGATAATTCAGAGGTTAAAAGATTATTCATTGCTACTATATCCCAAAAGTGAGTGTTTTGGATTTTTCAGGATGTTCGCATGAACACTACTTTCATTTGGCAACACGGTCGTAGAAGAGGTGTTCCTTTCTCCCACTACAACTTCAAAAGTCCAAAATATTCACTTTGGAGATATGGCAGCGGCGAAGAATCATTTAACTCCTGAATTACTAGTTCTCCAATCAATTTTCTTAATTAAATGGTCCTTCCTTCTTTTAACTCTCCTGCATCTAAAATAACACCAACTTCATCCTCAACACACACTCACAATACATAATTGGCTTAAAATACTAATGAAGTAACATTCTAAATATAGGTAAACTTCTCGAGATGACGATTATGACGATGTGCACCAAGCATATATGTGGTTACTTATATACTGCTGCTACATATCGAAAATTCAGTACAAGTACCTCAACATGCTCTCTCATCATTCAATCAATAAACCTTTTAACAACCTGAAAATGAAATATTTCTAAAAGTAAACCAAAAGAAAGGCATTTGTTGATTTGGCTGCTGATTACTACAACCAACCGAGAGACATGCACTTCATACAATTCAAGCTACGTAGTTAGTCTAATAGCAAGACTTCAATAGCTGATACTGAGATTCTAACATGCAACCGAGTGTAGATCATCATATTTGTATATTTTCATTATGTTTCACGTGACGAATACTAGTAAGATGAAATACACTCGGTTGAACTAGTGGCGACGCTATATGTAGACTAGATGTTGTCATGGCTGCCTCAATTTTCATGTGGCTCCATGTAATTATAATAGAAAATGGTCAACAAATGTGTTTTTGGCCCTCCCAGATTCTTTAGGTGACCTCGACCATTAGGTAAATCCGGGAATCTCTCCTTATATAATAGTTATTTACGAGTGTGAAGGATTTGTTCCTTTTAAGACCATTTTCAAAGGAGATATCACATCCTAAGTGGAATGTCATGTAATCAATTTTGAAGGTAGGAGCAAGCTCCAATCGATATATCAATCCTATGTGGATTGACATATGAGAAAAGGTAATGTCAAATCATTTTTAATTATTTTATTGTGTGGCTCTTATTAATGCACCAATTATAGATCTTGAAAATTTATTTTAATTGATTTCATTTTAAAATGAATCCTACAAATATCATACATAACAAAAAAAAACATATCGGTTGGAAAAAGAGAAAATCTGACATTGCCATGTCACCCATCAAATTTAACATTTAACATTTATCTTTTGACATCTCCTTTAGAGATACTCCAATCGGATTATTTTTTTGTACATAAAAAGTTTAGGAGGGGAGGCTACCCCATTCTAGGGTTAGGGCATGCCACAACCCTCTTTGAAGACTTATAAATGGGGTTAGCTCCATTTTTTGTTTTTACAGATCGCCCACCAAGAGTGATTACTGGCAGCGGGACTCAAACCTAAGCCTTAATTTAGCGAAGAGAACGAACCTTACCAACTCAACCAACCCTCATTGGCAATTAGATTTACATAAATACATAGACATACATACATACATACATATAGATATACAGACATCAATATATATGATATATAGATGAATCCTACTACATAGCCAAATAAGTCAAAAGTGAGTGAGATAGAGAGAGGCGTGGATTCTGAACTTTTTTGCATATGAAAACAAAAACATAGTTGTTGGATGATCATCATATAAGCTATGGCTAGCTCCCCACTATATCCATTTGCACAGGACACAAAAGGAACGCGAGATGTTAGCCTTGCAACTTACCCCTAAACATTAAATAATTTAAAAAAAAAAGTTAAAAAATTCCCACCCAACCAATCCATTCCTTTAGCTTTACTCCTACTCAAGAACCCTATATAAAATGTTCCCCCAAAAATAAAACACCTCTCTCACTAAGTCCTCATCATTCTGTTTGTACACATCATTTCATATAATCCTCCCTTTTCTTTCTTCTCCCACAATCAAAAAGCTTTCTGCAGTACTCTACTCTCTCCCAACCATGAGCTTCCCTCCTTCTGCATCAGGCGCGATGAAAGCAGTTCGAGGAAAGCTACATTTTCCTGTTATCATGGTTTGCGCTATCGCCTTTATCAGTCTCCTCTACGCCGAACGAACTAGCATCATTCTTTCCTCCAACCCTTTTTTCAAAATTAAATCATGTTCCAAACCCGAAGCCATTACGAAAAATAGTAAGTCTAAATAACTATTGATTTTTCTTTTTCCTGTTGAGATTTTTTTTCCAACAAAGATTTCCTAATTGATTTTTGTGGTCACCAATCACTACCAAACAGAAAACAGAAATGCTACCGAGGATAAGTTAAGGGATTCCATATTAGATGATAGGTTTGCTTTCAACCCCGAGGAGTGCAGTGTTGAGAATGGAGAATGGGTGTTCAACCGTTCGATCAAGCCTCTTTACTCAGACAGAAGTTGCCCGTATCTTGATAGACAAGTTTCGTGTGTCAAGAATGGACGTCCGGATTCTGGCTATCGCTACTGGCAATGGCAGATTGAAGATTGTACATTGCCAAGGTTGACAACTTACAATGCATGTCAAAACACATCTATGCACGTTTGTGCAGACTAGAATTAATGTTGATATATTTATTGGGAGATATTATTTACTCCGAAAAAATCATCTTTCATCTTCCCGATTTCAAATTAAAGGGAGGTCGAGTGCATAATGACTATTTCGGAGTGGTGATAATATGCAAGTTTATGGATTTATATATACTTAATTACTGCATGAACTATTGTTTTTCTAACAGGTATTTGTTTCCAAGTTTATATGTAGATTTGATCCAGAAGTTACACTTAAGAAACTCAGAGGAAAGAGACTACTTTTTGTTGGGGATTCTTTGCAAAGAGGTCAATGGCAATCTTTAGTCTGTATGGTCGAATCCATCATACCCGAGAACCAAAAATCCATTCAACGAGGGCGGTCTCATACAGTCTTCAGAGCCAAGGTAACGTATAATTCTTAGTTTTTGATCGGTTGAACCAACGATTAAACAAAAGAGATGAAGCTAATCAAAAGTTTTCCTTCTTCAGGAGTATAATGCTACTATTGAATTCTACTGGGCGCCATTTCTGGTTGAGTCCAATTCTGATGAACATATAATAGGAAATCCAAGGGAAAGAATACTAAAAGTGGATTCAGTTGCCAAGCATGCGAAATACTGGACAGGAGTTGATATCCTTGCGTTCAACACTTACGTTTGGTGGATGAGCGGCTACACGATCAAATCATAGTAAGTTTCTCACAGAATATGCATAAATAGAGTCGGTTACTAACTTCTAACAAATAATAGAAAAGGAGTGACATTAAAGCAATGAAGTGCACTAAACAGTGCTTTATATACGGCTTATTGTCTATTTAGTTAACCTCTTCTATTATGATTAAAAGTCATGACCCATTCTATTTGTGCATATTTTTCAAGAAAATTAACTATGCCAATGGATTATTGTCATTTTCTTTTCGGTTTAAGATTGATCAATTGAGCAACAATGTGTATCTGAACACAGCTGGGGATCGTTTCCAAATGGTGAAGAAGGGTATGAAGAATTGGATGCACCGGTTGCCTACAGAATGGCATTGAAGACATGGGCAAACTGGGTCGACTTAAATATCAATCCGAACAAGACTCGTGTTTTTTTCACTACTATGTCCCCTACACACATGAGGTATCTCTCTCTCACACAACTTGTTATGATTAAGCACAAGATAAAAATTGAGTGTTTTTTACTAATTACTTGAGTAACAAGTTAAATCTCTAATTCTACAGAAGTGCAGACTGGGAAAATCCAGATGGGATGAAATGCTTCAACGAAACAAAGCCGTACATGAAAAAGGGATTCTGGGGAACAGGTTCGGACAAGAGGGTCATGCGCGTGGTGTCCGAAGTAATCCGCAAAATGAAAGTTCCGGTTTCAGTACTTAATGTAACGCAGATGTCAAATCACAGAGTTGATGCTCACACAAAAGTTTACACCGAAACCGGAGGCAACCTACTAACTGATGAACAAAAGGCTGATGTGCTGCACAATTCAGATTGTATACATTGGTGCCTTCCTGGAGTTCCAGACGCATGGAATCAAATTTTTATGGCACATTTGTAGCGCTACGAACCACATGTAAATCTGCAGCGCTATCAAACAACAAGAGGCAGAACAATCGAAAGTAACACGTTTCTACTTTCTGATCAAGTTCTTGTCTCATTTTTTTTTTTTCAGTTGTAATGAATTGAATTTGTACAGCAAAAGCTGCTGAAGCAACTTCTTAGTTTCTTCAATGTTCTTGTGTTTTGGTAACATAATGCTGCAATGTAGCAAATTCTAATTTATCCAATAAACTAGGTCATGGTGATTGGTCTGGAGGACTTACCAGTTACCCCCCTTGACAGGACGGGGGATGTTTACTGTTGTAAGTTGTAACAGGAGCAGGTAAATTTTTGGCTGATGTACCATGGTAAATTGCCCTGCAAGTCATGTTTCTCAACATTAAACAGAGGTAAACTAAACAATCCAACCGTCCAAATTCGTACCATCCACCATCCTAATACAATCGCCTCCTCGCGTGCTGACACATGACGAAGTGCTCCGAAAGTACGCGCTGTATACAATTGTTACACCTTCGACTATTTGGCTTCAAATTGAATGTTTCTGGTATTGTATCTTGTAACATCTTGTCCAAAAAGTTAATGCATATTCTATGATATTCTGATCTCACTATTTATTTTTTGACAAATGATGGATAATCTACACTAAATTCATCAAACTACAGAGAGCAGGAAGAGTCTGAAACACATTAGATTAAAGTGGAATGCTCTACCGGTAAGGCAATCCACCACTTGCCGAGCTCAAGCTTTATTCGACAAAAAGGGTACGGTGACTGTTAACTTGGCATACCAACAAAAGTTTGTGGTGTTATAAATAGTCAAAAGTTAGAGAAATAACCTTTGCTAAGAACAAGGACGAAACCACCACAAAAGTATTGCAAGTATTAGAAAATGAGGAATACTGAAAGTATTATACTTCTTCTTTTCTCTTTCTGATGTTTTGTCACACTTTGAACAACCGAAGTGCTCTATTTATAGAGCCACCTCAACGAAAACTTACAAAATTTACTATTAGTATGTGAAACTTTACTATACACATGTGGGCAAACATACCAACTGTTTACAACACTCCCCCTTGGATGTCCACATATTAACATCAGTGCCTCGTTAAAACCTTACTTGGAAAAAACTAGTGGGAAAAAAAAACCATAGCGAAGGAAAAAGAGTACAACTTTACCTGGATTGTTGATATGGTGTTAAGCATGCTTACGTTGCCTCGTTAAAAACATTGATAGGAAAAACCTAGTGGGAAAAAATCATAATCGAAGGAAAAAGAGTACAACATGCATGTATCATGGATGCTCCCCATGAATTGTATCTCCCCCTGATTCCGCATTCTTCAAATTTGTAAGCCGATGTAATCCGATTCCCTGCACCAACTTCTGAAATGTGCACTTTGGTAGAGATTTGGTGAACAAGTCTGCTAAATTTTCATTGGAACAGATTTATCTGACTTCAATAACTTTACCCTTCTGAAGCTTATGTGCACTGAAAAATCTTAGAGATATATGTTTAGTCTTATCACCCTTGATAAATCCTTCCTTCATTTGGGCGACACAGGCTGCATTATCTTCATGGATGACAGTTGGAGTGTCTGTCTTTGAAGGTAGACCACATGAATTCCGGATGTGATGGATCATTGATCTTAACCAAGAACATTCACGACTTGCTTCATGTAAAGCAATTATTTCCGAGTGATTGGAAGATGTAGCAACTAGCGTTTGCTTCGTTGATCGCCATGAAATTGCAGTATCTCCATTAGTGAACACATATGTATTTTGTGAGGATCGGAGAGAAAACCAGCATCTACGTATCCAACAAGGATCTGGTCATTTGTGGGCTTGTCTGAGTAGAAGAGACTCATATATGTTGTCCCACGAAGGTATCGTAGAACATTTTTTACTCCCTTCCAATGACGAATTATTAGAGCAGAGCTGTACCTGGCTAACAAGTTAACTGAAAAAGCTATATCTGGTTTAGTACATTGTGCTAAATACAATAAAGCACCTATTGCGCTCAAATATGGTACTTCTGGACCAAGGACCAGTTCATCATCTTCTTTTGGACGGAATTGATCTTTCTTAATGTCCAAAGAACGAACGACCATTAGGGTGCTAAGTAGATAAGCATTGTCCATGCCAAATCGCTTCAGTATCTTTTCAATGTAAGCTGATTGATGGACCAAAATTCCATTAGCACAATGCTCGATCTGCAGGCCGAGACAATATTTTGTTTTTCCAAGGTCTTTCATTTCAAATTCGCTTTTCAGATATTCAGCAATTTTATTGAGCTCTTCAGGGGTTCCAACTAGGTTCATATCATCAACGTATACTGCCACTATAACAAATCCAGTATTTGATTTCTTAATGAACACATAAGGGCAGATGACATTGTTGGCATATCCTTCTTTAATCAAATACTCACTGAGACGATTATACCACATTCGCCCAAATTGTTTCAGCCCATATAGTGATCGCCTTAATTTGATTGAGAACATACCTCATGGTTTGTTAGTTGCTTCAGGCAACTTAAGTCCTTCTGGGACTTTCATATATATGTCAGTATCTAATTCTCCATATAGATACACGGTGATGACATCCATAAGTTGCATGTCAAGTTTTTCTGAAATCACCAAACTTATTAAGTAACAGAACGTAATTGCGTCCATTACAGGAGAGTATGTCTCTTCATAATCAATTCCAGGTCTTTATAAAAAACCTTGTGCAACGAGTCTTGCTTTATATCTTGCAATCTTGTTTTTCTCGTTGCGTTTCCTTGTGAATACCCATTTGTAACCCACGGGGTTTACAACAGGCGGAGTTTGGACTACTGGTCCAAAAACATTTCATCTTTCCAAGGAATTTAATTATGCCTGGATTGCATCTTTCTACTTAGGCCAATCTTGTCTCTGTTTGCATTCTTCAATAGAGCAGGGCTCAATGTCATCGCTTAATGTAATTTCAGTGGCTATTGTAAATGCAAATATGTCGTCAATGATTATTGCATTTTGATCCCATAATTCATTAGTACATGCATAATTTATGGATATTTCTTTGCTTTCATGTACTTCCGTCTCTTCAGTGACAGGTGTCTCATTAAGGACATTTTCTTTTTCTAGAAGTACAGAGTCATGAATTGAGGATTTATCATTCATTTTCTTTTCCTGAATGATTTCATTTGGGTTCAACTGTGCCCTCATCTTTCTCTTTTGAGGGGCTGAATCTTTTGAATTTGGGGATCTACCACGCTTCAGGCGTGCACTAGATGAATCATTCACTGCCACTTTATTTTGTCCAACAGGGACATCAATTCTTGCAGGTGCATTTGCAGCTGGTATATGTGACTTTGTCACTTTCGAAGCATCATTAAATGCATCTAGCAGTTGATTAGCAATACCTTGAAGATGAACGATCCTTTTCACTTCATTTTCACATTGAATGCTTAGTGGATCAAAATGAGATAAGGTGGGAACAATCCATGTTAGCTCTTGCCGTTCTTCTGGAACAGTCTTTTCTCCCCCTAATGACGGGAAGACTGTCTCATCAAAATGACAATTCGCAAAACGAGCTGTAAATATATCACTCGTCAAGTGTTCCAAATATCTAATGATAGATGGTGAATCAAAACCCACATAAATTCTCAGTCTGCGCTGAGGTCCCATTTTAGTTCGTTGTGGCGGTGCAATATGCACATAAACAGCACAACCAAAAACTCGTAAATGTGAAATGTTTGGCTGATGTCCAAACACGAGTTGTATTGATGAATATTGGTGGTTGGTTATGGGTCTCAATCTAACCAATGATGCAGCATGTAATATGGCATGTCCCCATGCAGAGACTAGTAATTTCGTTTCATGAGCAGAGTGCGGGCTATTAATTGAAGCCGGTTGATAAATACCTCTGCTAAACCATTTTGAGTATGGACATGAGGAACAGAGTGTTCAACATCAATGCCCAGTGCCATACAGTAATCATCAAATGTTTGAGATGTATTCACTAGCATTATCAAGTCGGATTGACTTAATGGGATGATTTGGGAATTGTGCTCACAACTTAATTATCTGAGTAAAAAGTCTTGCAAAAGCTACATTTCGAGTAGACAATAGGCAAACATGTGACCATCGGGTAGATGCATCAACCAAAACCATAAAATATCGAAATGGTCCACAAGGTGGTTGAATAGGTCCACAAATATCCCCTTGAATTCTTTGTAAAAATGATAGGGATTCATCATCAACCTGTAGTTGTGATGGTCTAATTACCAACTTCCCTTGGGAACAAGCCTTGCAAGGGTTATCATTTGAGACATCAATGTGTCTGCTCAATAATGGATGTCCATTAGAGTCGGCAATGATTCTACGCATCACAGTATATCTTGGATGACCTAGACGGTCATGCTAAAGCATGTAAACCTTTGAATCAATGAACTTCTAGTTCATGACAGTATATGCCTCAACTGTCTTTATGTATTTATAATGCAATCCACTCGATAAACCATGCAACTTCTCCAATATACGCTTCTAGGTATCATTAGAGGTAATGCATAAATATTGCACATTTTCTACACTTTTCGTTTCAATGTGGTATCCATTTAGACGTATGTCTTTAGAACTCAACAAATTTTGAATGGATCAAGTAGCATATAATGCATTCTTTATGGACAATATTGTTCCATTTAGTAACATAATCTGGGCTTTTCCTGAGCCTTCAATTACATCTGATTGCCCTGATATTGTTGTTACCTTTACTTTTGCAAGTACCAAATTCGAGAAATACTTTCGATCTCAAAGTATTGAATGAGTGGTTGCGCTGTCTGCAAAACAAAAGTCTCCGCCATTACTCTTGTTTTGAGAATAACCATAATTTTTATCCATGTTCTCTGAGTAAAGAAAAAGCAGTTTATTCATACTGGAATACTACTTTTATTGAATTGAAAATGCGAGCATTAAACCACAAGTACAAATAACAAGAGTACATTAAACATAAATAATTCAATCGGACCCATAAACTTCATTCATTCTTTCATTAATAAAGTATGTAGCATCCAGGTGGGTTGTGTTTAACTGTCCTGATAAATTGGTCATTGGATCAGGTGTTTCCATTGGTTGAGCCTGGTCGAGGAAATTGACTCGACACCCTTCTCCTTGAAGGAGGCTTGATACAGATCCACCAGATGCTTTGGGGTGCGACAAGTACGCGCCCAATGTCCGTTGCCACCACACCTATGGCAACCTCCTTCAGGATTTCTAAGAGTGTTCATAT